AATGAAATGTTAATCAATAATTATAATATTTTTGCAGATGTAAATAAGTTAATTTAACTTTTAATATTTTACTGACCAAAGTACAAACAATCGCAATGTTTGTGATTAGATATTTTATTATATCCACAAAAAAATACAATATGTTAAAATTAAGATTGCTATATGATATTTTTATTAAAAAGCATTTAATAAGTAGCAATAATTTAATTCTATATTGATATTCATGGTGTTGAGTTATTTATAAATATTCTTGCAATTCAAATTTCACTTTAAAAAAATGATTGTCAATTGATTGAAAATAGAAAAAAAAATGAATTAAATCTTAGTGAGAATATCGAAAATATTTAAATTATTAATCATATTTTTAAATGATTATAATTGCATTTCAACATTCCATAAAATCTACCTCTTTTAAAAAGAATACGATATTATAGAATAAATGTTATTAATTTAAACACAATTCTATTTCATCGTTTAGCGTACTTAATATTTTATATTATAAATTAAAAAATAATTATGCCAATATTTAAACTTTCACAATGTGCCTCTTTTTGAAAAATTGATTTTTATATTATGATTTTTATTTTATAAATATTTATTTGTATATCAAATGATACATGAAATAAATGATACATGATATATGTTATTCTTAGATTTTCCTATATTTTTTCTTCCTGTTCTAAACGCATTGAGACGTATGATGAAATTAAATTTTTTGAAAAGAATAATTTATTATATGCATAGTAAAATTTATCTAAACTAAGAATTTCTATTGATATATTGAAATATTAAATCATTAAGAATTTACTATCTAAGAATCAGAATAATAATCAGAAGTTTAATTAAAATTAAATATTCTACTACATTCACATATTTCAGTCTAAAATTATTAGTTAAAACGCCATTATTGTTTTTTTTTTGGAATTCGAAATATCGACTTATTATGTTAAAATATTATGAAAGCTTACCTAATTTTTAAGTTATTTTTCCATAGATACAAAGACAGCATTTACTATTATGATATTTTTCTCTCTTGAAGCACTTCATCACATATTTACACATTTCACAACAAATTTATGAAAGCGTCACTTATTAGAATCTTTTCGCGTCGCGTGAAGTCACGAAACTAATTCAAATTTTACTTTTGCGCATCTTCTTGCGCATCTTGCGCATCTTTTTGCACATCTTGCGCATCTTCTTGCGCATCATACGTATCTTTTTGTATATCTTGCGCATCTTCTTGCGCATTTTGCGTAATTTCTTGTACATCTTGCGCATCTTTTTGCGCATCTTATGCATCTTGCGCATCTTCTTGCGCATACAAGTAAAAAACATTTACAAATTCAAATATTTTTTTTATAAATTATTCTATTAGATACTTTCAATAAATTTAGAAATTAATAATTAATGTATGATATTAAAATTTAAATATTTCATATTGCAATATTTATTCAAAAATTATAGACAATTATTCGCGTTATTATCCATATCGATTTGATCGCCAATTTAATTTATTTTAAATATATAATTATATAGTAATAATTCTAAATAAATATTCGAAAATGTTATAACTTTAAATTAATTATTATTATTAAAAAATTATTATTCTAATTTAAAACATAATATAAATATTATATATAAAAATAATTTTTTATACTATTGGCAAAGATTATATATTAATTATTAAATTTTTATTATTTTGTAAGAAGTGAATTTTATCATTCTAAATGCATAAATAAAAAAAATTTAAAAATTGTTAAACTATTGTCAACTAAATCTACTTACGATTATTTTGTAACTATTGTTGTAACTATTTTTTATAAATTAGAATATTTTAATCTAGTTATAAATCGAAAATTAGAACATTTTTTAATTTGTAAAATACCAATTATTAACAGTTATTTTTAATTTATAAAAATATATTTTAATTATTATATTTAATAAATTATTAGATGCTTAAATTAAAAATAAAAATTTAAAAATTAATAAAGTATTGATCATTAAATCCATTTATGGCTATTTTATAACAATTCTTTTTATAAAATAGCAATTAAAATATTTTAATACAATTATAAATCGAAAATTAATAGCATAAAACAGCAAATCTAGTTTTAATTCGTAAAAATATATATTAATTATTATTTATAATGATGTAATGAATTATTGTAACCATAAATTAACAATAAAAATAAAAATATATATAATATAACAATAAAAATCTAAAAATTGTTAAATTATTGTTCATTATATTCAAAAAACTGATTTTAATATAATCGGCATACGACGTATGTATTCGGTAGACTTCGCCACTGTTCACCGCGACCTTTTATAAATACGAGCCAAGTTACGAAAGCAATCATTTCGTATCGAATTTCCGTATAGAAAAGGTCGATACTATAACACTTTGATTAAATTTTTATAAAAATTTTTAATTGTTCACTTTTATAAAATTTATTTTAAATTAACATTTAATATTATTGATACATATTATTTACATACTTTATTTTTTAATTAATATTTATTTATTGCTTTATTTATTTATTTTTACATTTTACTTTTACATAATTTAATTTAATTTATTTAAACATTTATTTATTAATTTAATTAGTTTTAAATTTTTTAATTTAAATTGCATTTGATTTATTTATTTATTTATTTATACTTATATTTAGTAATTTAAATTTTTATTTTTTATTAATTCATTAACTTATATTTTCATTTATTTATACTTTTTTTTATTTTATATTTTTATTTATTTATTTTTCATTTTCTTTTTTTTTTATAGATTTATTTATTTATTTATTTACTTTTCACTTTTATTATTCACTTTTATTTAATAATTTACATTTTTATTTTTTATTTATTAATTTATTAACTTATATTTTCATTTATTTATACTTTTATTTTTTAATTATTTTATATTTTCATTTATTTATTTTTCATTTACTTCTTTTTCTTATAGATTTATTTATTCATTTATACTTTTATTTTTTAATTATTTTATATTTTCATTTATTTATTAATTCGTTTATTGATTTAATTAGTTTTAAATTTTTAAATTAATTTTCATTTGATTTATTGATTTATTTATTTATTTTATTATTTTTCATATATATATATATATATATATATATTTTATATATTTTCATTTCTTATTTTCTTATTTTTATTATTTTATTAATTTAATAATTTATAAATTTATAATTAAATATTTTATAATTTAAACATTTACTTATTATTTTAGTTATTAATACATTAATTTATACATTCTTAATAATTTTAATTTTTATAAAATAAATTTTAATAATTTATTTTTATTATTTTTGTTATATGGGTCTCGATGCGTAGTCACCTCCTCGTCGGTGAGACCCGGTAATTGGCATCGCTTTCCAATTTTTTTCAAAATTTATCAAAAAATATCTTTCGAATATTTCATTAAAATTTTTAGAAATAAAAATTTATTTCATTTATTTAATTAATAATAATTTTCGGAAAGCGATGGCAAGCTAAGAACTACGCATACCTGCAGTCCAATCTAAACCTTTTAACATAACATAATTCTTTTTAACTATTTGTTTTATTAATTTTAAAAATTAATTTAATAGATTGGACTGCAGGTGTTAATAAAATAAGTTAGTAAATTATATTAATTAGAGTTTATTATAAGCGCATTCTGTACCAAGATACACTTTTTAATTTAAAGCGAAATTTCAATTCTTTTATTCTCTTACGTATAAACTTAATGATCTTAATGTTTCGTTTTCTATTTTCATCTCAAATTTCTCATTTTTATAGTTATTTGTATATCGTTTTTCAATTTCTTCCTCAATTTATTCTCACGTTTTGTAGATCGTAGTTATCTTTTCATTATTTTTTTCACGCCAATCTCATATCATGCAATGATGGCAAGAATCGTTGGATGGGTGCTTTACTTCCGGTGACCAGTCAAGAGTCCGCACTTTGATCGATTGGTACCTCTGAATACTCGATAAAAGTTAAGTTTTGTAGTCGAATGCCATTCTGGTAAATCGGCTCCGGTGGTCAGGAATTTATTCTTTGCTCCTTCCTGTGTCGTTAGAATGTAAGTCGTTCTTCTACAAAACTGCTGTCGTAACTCTTAACTGGTCACGACTGGAAAGTATCATCTGTCCATTGATTTTCGTAAGTCTATCGATGTAAGTCGTGATATGAGGGCGGCAGTGATTCAGAAGGGTTGATTTTTTTAAGTTTTATCTTCTTTTTTATCGATCATAATGATTCGAGTTTTGGTTTCTCTTCTTTATTTTTTCTTGCGCTTGTTTGTGTCTTCCTCTGAATTATATCATATATCTTTGAAATGATAGGAAATACCAAAGTATCTATTTGATTTAATAATTAACAGTTTCCATTTTTTCTTATTATTTTTTTCGCTTTAAGTATAAGTGTATCTTTGGTACAGATGCTATTATTTATATATATTATAATATATATTAGATTTTAAATATAATATTAAGATTTAGATTAAGTTAATTTAAGACAACGTTGGACAACGTTGGACAACGATGGACAACGATGGACAACGATGGACAACGTGGGATTTAACTATTAATTTTTTAATAATAAATTGCGATTAATGTAAAAATATTTAATTTTAATAAAACTTATGTACACCTGCGATCCAATCTAAACTTTGCAATTCCTTTTAATTATTTTGATTGATTAGATAGATTGGATTGCGGGTATTAGTAAAATAAGTTAATAAATTATATTAGAATTAAGTTTATTATAAGCGCATTCCATATCAAGATACATTTCTTAACTTAAAGCGAAAAATAAAAATCTCAATTCTTTTACTTTTTCACTTATATCCCCTCTTTCGTTTTCATTATTCTTTACTTTCATCTCGAATTTCTATTCCTATAATTATTCGAATCGTTTTTTATTTCCTTCTTCAATACATCCTTATGTTATTTTATGGTTATTTTATGATTTGTTGTTTCTTTCATCATTGTCATCTCAAGTCACTGTCGACCACATGTCACGCAACAGTGGCAGAAATCGTTGGATGGGTGCTCTACTTCCGGTGGCTAGTTGAGGGTCCGCACTTTGATCGATTGGTACCTTTGAGTACTCGATGAGAGTTAGGTCTTGTGGTCGAACGTCATTCTGGTAAATCGGCTCCGGTGGTCAAGGATTTATCCTTTGCTCCTTCCTGTGTCGTCAGAATGTAAGTCGTTCTTCTGCAAGACCACTGTCGTAACCCCTGATTAGTCACTGGAAAGTATCATCTATTCATCGATTCTCGTAACTCCACTGGCATAAGTCGTGCTAAGGTGATTGACAGTGATACGAATTTCTTTAATTCCTTCATTATTCCTTCTTTCTTTTGGATTTTTACATTTTTCCCCCTTGCGCTTGTTTTCCTCTCTTCTTTTTTCGTTTTAAATTTTTCCTTTTTGCAATCATTGCAATCATTTGTAGTACTTGAATGAAATCTTTTCGATTGAATAATTAATATTTTCAGTTCTTTTTTATTTCGCTTTAAATAGAAATGTATCTTTGATACAGATGCAGTTAGATTTAAGATTTAGTATTAAGATCTAAATTAAGTTAGACTTAAGTCGGACGATGTAAGATTAATCGCGAGCGAGAAATTGCGACAAATGTAAAGATTATTGTAAAGATTATTGTAAAGATTCATTGTATTCATTGTATTTATTTTATATTTTAGATTTATTTTATATAATATTTATTCCTTATGTATTTTATTTACTTTTTTAATTTGTGTAATTAAATTAATCTTAATATCTTTCTTTTTTTTTTTAGCTTTAGGTGGGTCTCGATGCGTAGTCACCTCCTCGTGGTGAGACCTGGTAATTGGTATCGATTTTCAATATTTTCATTGAAAATTTTCCAAAAATTAATCTTTGAAAAGCGATACCAAGCTAAGAACTACGCAATTCTTGTAACCATTCTTTTCTGAAAATAATATATTTATTTTTCTTTTATAGATGTTCCTTTTTTTGCGGTCTTAGATGATAATAATTGCATTATACATTTGTGTTGCATAACTGATATTAACCAGATGCAAAGAAAGATTAGTAATAATTACTTTAAACAATTAACATTCATACATGCTGATGAAAGTTTCTTAAAAAATATTCAACTGATTGAAAATTGAGTTCAAAATGTGAGTGGTGATTTTCTCCACTATGTTTCTAGTGTTGCTAGGTAATTCAAACGTCGATAATAATTATTGATTGCATTATACATGATAGACAGGTGCAAAAAAGCCACGATAAGAGGAAATATGTGAAATATGAAATGGAAAATCGTATATACATACATCTTTCAAATGTAATATTCTTCTATCATGGAATTTCAAGATAAACTAATTAACTGTATCTTCAACCATAATACGTAATGCATTGAAATACGACAAAGATGTGTATAGATACTGCAAAACATAAAGGGATAAATATGAAAAAGTATCAAATAATAAGAATTATCACGAGTAAAAAGATACAGTAAACGTATATACCTTCGCGTAATAAGATAGTGAAAGTGCAGGTACAATACCATTAATCCCAAAACTTTCGTATTTCTGAGATCTTAAAATTATAAAAAGTATCTTTCTCTGGGTTCTGATGTCTCTTCTATACCAATCCATGTTGTACACTTTTGTAGCCATTTTCATTGTCTTAGGATAAAAGATGAAATTGAAAATTGTTTCATCATCAATTGAAATCGTATCGTATCGTGATAATTTGATTACCATGCGCATCAAGCTATCCGCTGGCCAAGCGTACATGAACAGTTCCACGCTCGCGCTGAACACTACGATAGCGTATAAAGCTTTCAGGGCTAGTGGCTGATTCTATTTTTAAGAAAGTTTAAAAATTTCAAAATTCTCAGAATCGATTTTCTCGTTTTAAAAATTAAATTAAACGTACGGTGATTAAATTTAAACTGCCGAATATCACGGCAATGACGGTTGTTCCATTTGTTGCCAAAATTAGAAATTTGATAGATCGCCGAATTTCTCTGATACATCTGTGCGAATTGGATAGAATAAAAATATATAATAATTAAATACTGTGCATTTGAAATTCTATATTCATTTAAAAATTTTAACATAGAGTGCAATTATTTATATAATAATAAGTGAAAATCAATACGAGAAGGTTTACGACATTTAGATTGTAAAAGGTGATTACCTTAAGAGTTCATTGTGCTTCTCTATGCAGGCGTCGAACTCACCGTCTGATTTCGCATTACTGAATTGATTTCCTAAAATCTCGAATCTAGCCACGACATATCGTAAAAGAAGAGCTACCTGGGTGTCAACAGCCATGCCTGAAGACACTTGAAACCCAACGAACGATTGATGGAAGAAGATTAAATCTTTGTACGGATGACGTTTCACTGAAAATGGATATATCGCGTGGATGGGGAACGTTTGCGCCGTGTACAATGGACCGCATATGACGAATATCGTAGTAAGGAAACTCCACAGTATGTAGAAACTATGAAAATATTTGTATCTATCCACGTAACGTTGCAGTATGATCCTTTCGTCGTTCGTGGCCCGTTTGCAAAAATTCTCCATTTCAAAGTACAGCATCTAAAAGAGTATTGTGCGATTATTTTAATTGGAAAGATAGAATATAAAGAATGGAACACTTTCGACTTTCGATGACTTTTTTCTTTTTTTTTTTTGTTAAATTAATACTAAAACATTTCTCAAGGATTAAATATATTTCTCCTGCGTTTTATCGAGGGAGAATAATGAACTTACTTGAAAACGTTTCTGCTGCAAACGACATATTATCATTTTAATCGTCACTTGAACAACAGCCGCTGTAAGGCTCACGGTTTTTCCAAGAATGATAGGATGCTTACGATATTCGTAAATCGCGGCCAATAACGGTAAAAATAATGTGACGGGGGTCAAAAACGCAGTGCACCACAATGCATTAAAGAAAAGATGTTGAGCCTTGGTCGCAAGAGGAGAGGGAGGCCAGGAACACGTGAGAGCAACGCTGATTTTCGTGAACAAAATCGCACTTTGTGGTGTTAAGTGATTTTTCATCTTGATGATGTATATTCAATATATTATATTAAGACAACAATAGTACGTTGATATTACGTAACACGTTTATTTTTAATAGAGTTCAAAATCTCATAAAGAATGAGATATCGAGAAATGTGATTTCGATAAAATCACGTATCACGCACAAACACTTGTATGGTGAACGAAACTCGATTGTTTTTTTAAAAATATAAAGAAACGCGATTTCGAAAAATGCGAAGTTTTATCGACTGATAATGTTAACTCGATGTTAACATGAGTTTGAAATGACTGTGTATACCTCCCTTCGTACGCCATTGAACTCGAGATTAAATTATAATGTAACGCACAATCGTGTAATCAAGCTAGAATGCAATCGACATTGATCGATGCGTGTAATTATTTTACCGCTTCGTGAGAATGCCATGTGTTCCTTGAATAGGGTAAAACAATAACTATTTATGGTATGATATGCTTGTTACGTCAAGAAAGATTATAGATAAGTACATAGTACATGAAAAAGATTCCATAATATATCGCGAAGCAAGGAACGAATGTGATATCACAATTGACTATATTAATTTATATACATATGTATACATATTTATAATTTATATTTTAATTATTGAAATATAAGAATTGTAATTTTTTGACAGTTTTATTGACAGCCTGTTAAAAATAAATTTAGCTTTAGATATTATTTTATCGAGTAAGTATAAACATTTTTTCCCTTTATTTCACATTCATGTCAGATTTTACAAAAATTGTTGTAAGTATAGAAAGTATAGAGTGACTACAAAAAGTATTTGCATTCTTATTTTATAATAAAGCGTTTTTAAAAGATTATACATTTTATTTTTATAATTAAAGTTTTATAGTCATATGAAAATAGTACAATACAAAATATATATTATTGTATATAATTAAAAAATATATATATATATATATATATTATTAATGTCTTATAATCATATGAAAATAATACAATAAATTTAATACGCATTTGATTACTTAAATTCTATATCTATGTAATATTATGTAGATATTTTTTGTAGTCACTATATAAGAAATATAAAATTTTATTACTACTACATATTTACAATATAAATTTTCATCGTGTTAATTTTATAATAAAATATAATTCGTGACATTGTATATTTTGTACATGTAAGTAAAATAATAATTTAACATTGTCACAATTAATTTGGCAACAATTAATTTCTACGAGTGTAATACTTGGTTATATTTTTTTCAATCTTCATATTTCTTTCTTTCCTAATAGGAATAAAAAAATAATTAATTTTAATCTACAGATCTAACTGGCTTAACTTATACTAATAAATGCCCAATGAATTATGATTATGATAATAGTCTTTTATACCTATTGCTGCTCGCAAGCATTCGTCCATCTATATTTCTTTAAAAATCATAAATTAACAAAAAAATAATTTTTAAAGGATTAATACAATCATTTCGAATAAAATATTACAAATTTTCATTTCGATTCATATCATATATTCATATCATATAAATTCACATATGATAAAAATATCATTAGCAATTTTGTTTAAAATAATTTCTATTTCCATTTCCTTCTTTTATTTTTACTTTTATTTTGAATAATTCATATATATAATAAAAATATTAACATAATTTTTCATGCTAATATCTCAATTAATTTCCATTATGTACACATAAGTTATACAATATAACATCGCCAAAACGATATAAAACCATAAAGTTTCAAGTCGCTTGAGGCGATGACACTTTACTCGAATGCGAGTGAGTAGGTTTCGGTCCTGTAGTTGGTATTTTAGCAGAGATTGGACACAAAATCTGCTTGTAGGCCTCTCTGTAAAGCTTATTAGTGCCTGCATAAATGAAAGGATTGATCACAGAAGAGGCCCACGCGAGCACAGAAGCTATCACGTGCAAAATTGGAATTTTTATTTTATCATCGATCACATTGACCAGCATGAGCGGCATGAAACACAAAAGGAAGCACAGAAATATAGTCAACATCAGTCTGGTCACTCTAGAGTCCTCCCTTCGTTGAAATCCTCCTGCTTTTCTCCTGGGGCCGGCATGGGCTTCTAGATTTTTTCTACTCTTTCTCACACGCCAATAGATGCAAAAATAAGAGACACTTATCACAACGCATGGCACGATGAATCCTAGAACAAATAGGAATTTCTTTGGGCTGCTACCGTTTTTTTTTAATATAGTGCAAGAGAAGGTGGACGGTTCCAGGCCTAGTGTCCCCCAGAAACCGAGCAATGGTGGCAAAAGTAGAGTGAAACTCAACGTCCAAATGGCGATTAGCATTAAAATGATCCGTTGAGTAGTATACAATTGAGCGTATATTTCTGACCTCGAGATCAATATGTATCTGAAATTTATCAATCGATTAGATGAATATCTGCAAGATATAATTTTGAATCAGTAATTTATTAATTTATTATTAATTATAATTTTCATTTTATAATTTTACAATTTTGTGTATATTTTATTAATTATATTAATTACTGCAAAAGATATATTTTTATCTTTATTTTAATAATAACTATTCTTAATTTTTTAATCATTTTTATTACAAAAAGTATCGATTTAAATTCGATAATTGCTAATAACTTTTGCAATGCAATATAAATAGCAGCTGTTCATATTGGATTTATCACGCGTACATTTGATCTTATTCAGATGAGCAATGGATTAAGTTCCATTGAAGTATGCTGACTTCGTAAAATTAGTCGTGTATAATAATTCATCAGCATATTTTAAAATAAATTAAACGAGAAACTTTATCATTATAGATATCTTACTGTTTGTCAAAACATTAGGGAAAATATCGAAAGATTAGAAAAATACTTGAAATTCTTATAATACAATTATTTATTTTATTTATTTATTTATTAAAATTACCAACCGATTAATCGTGATTGCCACCATACTGAGCAAAGACACCGCGACATTTCCATAGAAAAAGAGGGGAAATATTTTGCACAGAGTTTCACCCAGCACCCACGCCTCGTTTAAATATCTGCTCGCAGTTAATGGTAGATTTACCGCGGAAAAAATCAAGTCAGAATGCTGAGACTTATTACGAAAGCGGTCGTAGCATGCCGTCTCAGCCTCGTGTATTTTAATAATGCTATTACTGTTACCAAATTGCCTGAAACATAAGAAAAATAATTGAAAAAAGAAAAACAAATGAAAATTACAAATAAAAATAAATTTTTTAATTTAAAATAATTGATAAAACAACAAATGGATATCATAATATGATAAAAATAATCATATCGATATCACTTAAATAAATAATCGTACGTAATGATATACAAAGAATATGCGAGGAATATATATATTCTGGTAATTGAAGCTTCGTTATTTCAACTTGTAAAAGAAGCAAACGTGTAATTAAAATAGAAGGAATTAATCGTTCTAATTCTTGACACCCTCGTGCATAATTTAAGGGCATTTAATAGCTGTTAAACCGAGAAACGCCACTATCCCATGGGTCAACAAGAACTTAACCACAGAATTGAAATATACAATTAAAGGTTCAGTCGCATCTGTGTGGATTATTTTCCTCCTCCATTTGATATTTCTGAAACCTCTTCTAACGATGGGAGACTTTATGAAATAAGTTTCACAAATATAATTCTTTTGACGATCATTTTATGAAAATATTTTTTTTTTTTTAGAAATTTCTAATTAATTGAATTAATTTTGAATTTCACAATTAAATTTGCGATCGATGTTTAATGATAAAATAATTTGTTTCATATAAATGTAGAAGTAAAGAAACTGGATTTTACCTGCAACTCCAACGACACTGAAAATTATCGCGCAAACCGCAGCTGCGATAGTGACTGGCCGTGGAAAGTGCTTGAGACTCTCACCTCCGGATTCGAAAATTGTGTCGTTTGTTACAGAATCGTCCATTTTGTATCGTGTTTATGTGCTTCCTCGTTGTGACATTTTCTTGGACAGTGAAATGCAGAACGAAGTGCGTACGCTTTGAGAAAAGAGAAAATTGATATCATTAAGACTTTAAACTACACATTTACGAGATATATATATATGATCATTATACGAAATTTTACAGAGTTTTTATTTACATTGATTATGTGAACTCAATATTTAATAAATTCATATTGATATTACATTAATTTAAAAACGTATCTTCACAATTTTTCTATATAATATAAAATAAAAATAAATGGAAATTTAGAATAAAATTTCAATTTAAGACTTATACTTACGTCACAATTGTGTTATCATTCATCGTGTTTTTACGTGGAAATTTTCGTTTCTTCTTCTCATTCGTTTTTTTTCGCAATTTCAAATTATTCATCGATTTGTATTAATCGAACGGTATTTTTCCAGATTTTGAAAATTTCGATTCGCGGTTGATTTTTTTATCACAAATTGGATAAGATGAATGAAGGCAATGTTTACCACTGCCTTGTGTTGGCCCCATCGAAAGCTGACTGGTCTAAAACAGAAAGCAACGAGATAACACGATTAAGTTAATTATCCATGATTCACGCATCTCGAGAGAGAGAAAAAAAAACCTTGGTTTATTAATTGAAACAACGATAACAGAATTCCTTATCGACACCCTTTCACAATTTATTACAGACACTGTCAATGAATCTTTCCCAATAACGAATCGCTATAAAATTCAGAACTTTCCTTCGCGATATTCTTTCTCCTTATCTCAATTTTAATTAAAAGAAGCTCGCACGATAACGACAAATTATTCGCGAAGTATCCACTAACGTCACATTTCGATATAAAAAATTCATACAATTTAGATTTATTACTCGCAAAAAATGAAATTTCAAAATTAAATTAAAACGATTTAAAAGATATACGACGTCGAAAATAAAAAATACAGACTTAAAGAAAATTACACGATAAAAATACGTCGAAAAATAAAATATCGTATTTATTCGAAAAATTTCGAACGAACCTCAAACACTTTTCTATTCTTATTATAAAGAAGATTGAAGTTTGAAAATCCAACGAACCACCGCATTTCTGTATTGTTGAAACGCTGTGCCACTAGATTTGCATATGCCAATCGTCGCTCCACTGTCTGGAACGATTAAACGCACGAGGAGGGCTCCTTATCCGAGCCAGCCATTCGAATACAACTCGCTTCTCCTCTTCTTTTTATTCGTTCATTAGCAGCGACTCGTTCTATCCGTTCTCGTTCTCCGATTTTCTTCCCATCGTCGTGGCGACATGGAAAAAACGAGGGGAATCCTTCAGACAAGAAGAAAGAAAGCCTCTTCCTCTTTTTTAGCCCTTCCGTTTACTCTGGAATGGTCATGGGATTTGAACTTGTTGCGACAGACGCGGAGAGTTGTTCTTGGAACTATCGGAATCCGGTGAACTTCGACCTTGCCTTATTGAAAATAATTGATTTTCACTGGTTTCTTGGAAATACTGGCATATGTTCATTCCCAATTTTCCGACGATCTTTCTTCGCCTCTTCGAGAAATTTTTGGTAAACGAAGGAGAAGATCTTGGAAATCTTTGAAAATCTTGAAATAAATTATCACGACGAAAGTGGTCTTGGAAATTTGAATAATTATCGATAAAAATTATCGTGGAGATGTCGGAAGTTTTAGAAAAATCTTGAAAATTCTTGAAAAATATGAAGGAGAATAAATTTTTTATATTATTTCGTGACTCGTTATTCTACATTAAATATCTGAAATTTGTGAGTCAATTGATTTTTAAACATAACTATTTCGTCAAATTTCTTTTTTCAACATTGCCATTAGTCACGATTAAACAGGTAACTTATTGTATAACGAATAATCTCCGTTATCTTCAAATTCCTATCTTCTTCCTGCTCTTTCCTCAAATCAAATCATCATCGATAAAGCCTCACAAAGGGTCACATTCAGTTCAAAAACTCGATTACTCAATAGCACTCTATTTCACTATGTTTCCTCTTTCCTCTTCACCACGAAAGACGATAACATCTTATCCCAAATCTATAAACCTCCACCATTTCTCTATTCCAATCTTTTTATTAATTATCCATCTTTTTCACTATAATAAGATTCGAGAAATGATCCAACAACAAATTTTCTCTTGACTTTTTGAGTGTTGCAAATAACAAACAAAGTGTTTGAAATAAAATAAAATTATTTTTTATTATTTAATAAGATTCCAAAAATTTCAAGTTCTACACTTTTTGCGTGAAAATATGCGATTTTTCCCAATTCATTGGTACTAGAACAGTCGCAAACTCGTTTCGCCTGTAGCTGGCACAACGATCATTCCTCGACTGACGAGATTCGTCGACGCTTTACTCCCCTTTTACACGAGGAATACACTTCTTATCTGTCATTTCTTTCACTTAACTCTCTCGCTTCCTCCGTCGCTGCCTTTTTTACAGCTCTTTCGTATTCCGCCTCTCTGAACCCTTGCCTCTTTCGCCCAAGCATCACCAAGGAATCGTAATTAATTTAATCTCTCTTCTCTTCTCTCTCTCTCTCTCTCTCTTTCTCCGGAGATCATTGTTCAAGCCGAGCATCGTTCAAGTACAATCGAGCGAAATGATACTCGAGTTATGGTGACCGCCGTGAGAATTTTTGGGCCCTCTCATGTGTGACACTTTTAAAAAGATAATTTTTTTTTCTAATTACAATGTTCTTTCGATTTGTATTTATATATATATATATTTTTTATAATTTTTGTTTTTCCTTGAAAATCTTGAAGAATAAATGGAAATTTTTAAAATGAATATTAATTATATGTTGATTAAAGTTTTGGAAATGTTGAGAATTAAAAGTTAAGATTTCGAATATCTTTTTCTACAAAACTTCTTATAAAAATTTATTTTGAAAGAAGGTAACTGAATATAAAATTTGAAAGGTCAAAACGACTGGGGCCATGGTGAAATTTTATATTCTAATTTATTCCTCTTCTGTTGTCATTGTTGGCGCATAGAGGTTTATTACGTAAAAGAATTTAATTAACGTGGAAAAAGTAAAAATAAATCATTCAAGTGCTTTGATAATTCGCACTCAAAAAAAAAAAAAAAAAAAAGATTCATCTTTTTTAAAATTATAAAGAAATTTGGATAAAAATATAAGTTAAAATTAAAAATCAAGGAGAACAATTTAAGAAATTTTAAAATAGACATTTATTTTATTTGTACAATTTATATTGTTAAAGTCAATTTTATTTTCCTCTTTCTTTTTACAGTTTATATACTGGAGATCGAAATTTCATGTATGAAGAAACACCTTCCTTCACATAGTAACCTTGCTTCAAATAGCAGCAAATATAGATGTTCAAACAAGTGAAAAATCATGTGTGAAAAAAGTAAACTGTGAAAAGATAGATAGATCGTAAAAAAATATTATTTCTAGCATCAACTTTTACTTTCAGATCCAATAATCCTTAATAACAAGTTACTGTCTTATTTTTAGATTATAAATCTGATCTCCTTGGAAAAAATGCAAGTATTTTTATAAATTAACTACTCGTTTATTTAAATATTAATATCATATGATGTTTATAATCGAAATATTTCAAATATCTCGGATGAAAAATCTATAATATAGATTTCAATAGTCAAATATTACCAATACATACATCCTATGAATTTAAATAAGAAATAAGATATATAATTAATCCGTTTATATTACATTTACTATTACAATTATAGATTGTCAAAGTATATCATAATAACATTAGTAACATTATCGTAACATTAACTACATATCCGCAGATTACTACTTCAAAATATTTATGATACGTTATAATAATTACCCCTGTGTCCGAGTTGCTCGATTCAGAATGCCTCTCAATCAAAATTCTTCGATAACACTTGATAACAAAAGGAAGTTTCACAAGAATTGTATAAATTTCACAAATTTAACTCTAATTCCAAAAAATGTCACATCCCACAATCTTTCTTCAACTCAAACCAACACACTTTCCTCTTCTTCCATCAAACTTACGATCAACATTTTAAACATAAAATTTAATTCTTTGTAAGAATTTAAAAATTTTTCGATCGATCAACAAACACGATCACATATTCTTTTCAACATCGTCTCGAATCAGACGCGAGGCTCTCCTTCGACCTCCTGGTTACGCCTCGTCCGCACGCGTTCCTCGTACTGACGAGTCGTTCCTCGCACAGAGATCGGGTCGAAAACAGTTGGGGGATCGGGACACGATTGGCACGCGCTCGAATTAACGCGGTCAACAGGGTGCAAAGGGGGTTGGCGGCGAATATTAACTTTCACGCATTCCTCTGTACACGCTGTAACGGGCCATTAATTGTTCGATTGGCGCACGGTGGTATCGATTGGCCGTTATTGCTCGTACACCGTCGAGTTATTGGCTCGAAGTAGCGCTTGATTATCCGATGAAAACGGATAATAATTCAAGTGGACGAAAAGGAACAAGTGGTCGAAAAGTGCGTGGAAAAAGAAAAGAAAATGCGCGGAATTGTATTTCATCGCCCAATGCGTAAGATTATATTGAGCTTTCAATATGAGGATTAATTGATTCCTTTTAATTTCGGGATCGATTTAACGACGGGGAGAATTAATTTTGTATTTAATCAGGAATCGATTAATTAGATTTGTTTTGATCGGTCGAAATAATAAGAGAGAAGATGAAAATGTTTTTTCTATGGCAAAATTAATATAATTTATCTTCGTGATTCATTACTTTAATTACAAATGGATACCGGAGATCGATAACTCGTTTCTCGAATCATTCGTGATTTATTACTTGGCTCCGATAAAAAGGAAAAATATATATATTTTTTTTAATTCGCGTGTAAAGAATTGACAAATATAAAAATTGTAAGTATCGTCAATTATTCGTATAGACGATAAAATAATTCACAATGATGAATAAAAAGCGGTGCAATCCTTATCAATGGCGAAACAATGCAGAATTTCTATAACGTTATTCGCTGGGCAATTTTGATCCCCAGCATGGGCCCCTGTGTCAACCGTACTAAAATCGTAATTATGCGTCGACTTTCTCATGATGTATTTCAATGCAAGTTAACCCCCCGTTGATGTTAAAAGATAGCCATACGGACGACTCGGCATCGCGTAGGCCAGCTGCCTGTGGACTCGGCACAAAGCCCAAAGAGCTTAACAATCGGAAAGGAACGGTTCAACAAACAAAACTTCACCCCTCCTTGCCCCCTTTCATCCCCTCGATACCGCACCTTCACCTGGCTCCCCACCCTAAGATTAAAGGTAATCTTGGAAAATTCTCGTTCCCCGCGCCGATCAGAGAGAATTGTTAGTTGGCAAGAAATTACAGAACTGTATCCTCTTGTTGTTATATTATTTCGTATATCGATGTTAATTAGAAATATTGGTTTCGTTATCTATCAGGAATAAAATGAAATTAATCTTTTAGTAGAGATGAAATCTATATTCTCGTTTCATCCGGTTTATTTAATATTTTTCACGACGGAAAAATTATATTTTTTAAATTTAAATAATTGTATAGGATTAAATTTTTTTCGATTTTCATTCTTTTAATGGTTTGGACGAAATTTTGGCACGATGTTAAAAAAATTGGCAAAAATTAATTAATCGTATAATATTCAAGAAATTTATTTTTAACTCATCCAACAAGATGAAATGTATAAATAATTTATGAATAAAAGATATTCGTTTATGACAATATCGTTTAAAATAATCGAATTATGATTAACGATTGTGAATTATTTTTACGAAAAATATTTTCACTGATTGTTCTTTTCATCCCTTCTCTTCAACACTTACATTGCATTTTAATGCAATACTCTTTTGTGTATAAAATGACACGAAAATTCCTCGTGCCCCAGGATAAACTGTTTTGCATAACCAACCCCGATTAGGGATTCGAGCAACCTGCCTCGAAGAGGAATGCACCGTGAGAAGAAGAATATTTTTTCCGTTTGTATATATTTCTCAGGAAAAGGAAGGCCAAAAATTTATACTTTGGGCTCACGTAATCACACTGTGCATACAATAGATCTTTTTAAAATCTTTCGCTATCTTTCGTAATATTTCATGTTTGAAAGGAAAAAATATTCATCTGCTTTCGAAAAATAATTTTCAATTTACACAAAGAACAACATGGAACAAGAATTGTGTAGAATAAACTATCGGATTTTACAAATACTTTCGAAAATACGAATTCTATTTTAATTCTATTTTATCCTTAACTAATTTTTAAAAATTCTTTTTTTTTTTTTTTTTTTTTTTTTTGTTCGAATTGCAAATTATATTATTCCCAATGATGAAACATCGTATCGAATGTATTTAAATTACTGCAAACATTCTATCGATTTTTCGTTTATATTCGAAAAATTGATTATCAGATTTTTGATAATATTATAAATATTTAGAATTACAGATAATTTTAGTGCCGGAATTCCGCCGTCTATATTTATTACCGATAAGTTATCTGTGATAGAACATCCAAAACCAGGCCTCGTCTTACTCGCATTCACGCTGATTTAATTTTTTTTTTTTTTTTTTTCCAGTCAATTAACAGTGGTGCTTTCGAGTTTGAAAATTGAAACTTAATTAATATTACTTAAAAAAAAAAAAAAAAAAAACATTTTAAATCTTATTATTATCGAAATTTTATTTTATCCCGCTTTAAAAATTGGTTATTACACAATTTTTACGTATTCTAAATGAAAGATACATCGGTACGAGTAAATAATGTAACGGATTATTTTTCATTAAAATTAAAATAAAATACGATTCGTTTCATTGTTATTAAATTATGTGTATATTTGTATAAAATAATTTGTTTTAAATAAATATCGATGTAATTCCTGAATGTATTCATTCAGAGTCGGCGAAATTTGTCCGACATTCGATAAACATAGAATCGAATCGGGACAAGATAATCAAGAGCTAAAATGATGAAGCTGGTGTGTACAATGGCTTCATACAAGAAAGTTGTTTCGTTGGGATAATTAACGATTTCTTTATGGCAAATGATTGTACATACCGACCGGAAAGCCTAAGAATCTGACCACTCATAATGGTTACTAATACGCGAGTGAAGATAGCCGTAATCATCGTTCAATAAAAGTGATCAGTGGTTATAAATTTCACAAAGCAGCACAAGCGTCGATAAGGGGAATGAATTGTGTTTGCGTCGAGAAAAAACTCTTTGGTCGATGATTAATCGCCACACATAGGATGAGATATTTTTCTTTGTATCTACGATTCAAAGGGTTATATATCTCGCATCTCGTTTTCTTTCTCGAAGAATTTTTAAAATACTCGCGCGACTCGTGTGTATTTTCATTTTACGATGAAAATTGTGACGAGATTTGTAAAAAACGAGATTCTTTTTTTTTTTTTTCTTGTTCCGTTATTAACGTGTTAATAAACGAAAGTGTTAAATTATGAAAGAGGAGAGTGAAGATGATACTCCATTGAAAGAGATCAGTTTAATGTTAAAATTGTTTGATCCTTTTAATATTACTTCTTCGAAATAAATTTTTTAGATTTTCATTTCAACAGTTTCTATATAACGATCGATAACTTGAATAAATGATCTTATTTATTATGAATTTATTTTTTCAACACTTGCGTTTCTAATAGCAACGTTGGACAACCACTGGTCCACGTTCTGAATGAACTCATTATGCATAGTCCCACGAGCCCATACACCATTTCAATTCAACAGTGCTGTCTATTCACGAAATACTACAGCGTCTGAACTCGATTCTAAAAGCCAAAAGGGTGACTTGAACACGAGATGCTTCGAAATAATAAATTCAAAAAAAAGAAAAAAAGATTTCCCCATAGAAATAGAAATCTTTAACTCTCGTTAAGCATCTCTCAAATATAATCGATTACTATTATCGATATTTTTTCGAATTTAACATTCTGTGAAATGTATTTTTAGAAAAAGTATATATATAATACAATCTTAAACTTGAGCCTGTTGAATTACTCGAATTACTTATGGTTTTTAGAATATTAAGATCGATCGTTTCGATTAGAATAATTTTTAATTTAAAATTACTATCACGTTTATTCTATAATTGTTTTCACAAAAATTTAAAGAAAAAAAGGATTTGCTCGATTGAGGATCTCTGTTAGATCCAGTTCGAATGCCGGTTCAGGAAGTTCGAATGCAGATAGACGGGACATGGTGTCAAGATTTTCGACAGGGGTGCACGTGTAGATTGAAACCAGACTCTGCGATAATAAACTACAAATACTATTTTTATAAAGATGCCGTGCTACACATGTAACGATCGGTGAAATATGCTTGAGAACCTTTATATTTTTCTTATGATAAACCCTTCTGAGTTCATCATATAAAGGGCAAAAACTTACAAAAAAAGGTTCAAAGTTACCGATAGTTTTTTATAGAAAGAAAGAAAAAATGATTTAAGCAATAGTATATAGATTTCTCTTTGATATTTTATGTTTCGTGGAAGTTTTGGCAAAAATGGGAATTTTAGCACGGAATCTTTATCAAGATAAAAAATTTAATATTTCTAATAAAAATAATTTATCAATATTATCGTGGTTTCACATTTCCGGTAAGTCCACAGATGAGATAGGATAAACATTATATTTAATATAAATATATATTTTAACATACTTTGTATGCTATGTTCTGATATAGCGAGTTTAAAAAAATAAAAATTAATTTTGGTAAGTTCTTGTGTATGTGTGTCTGGAAAATAAGAACATTGTTACAATTGCTTTTATATTTTAATTGAAATAAATAAATAAAATTTTAACCAAAAAATAAAGCGTTCTTTATTAAAAATACAGATATTCAATCAATAGGTTAGACAAAGAGAGGAAATAGGAAGAAAAGGACAGAGATAGGATAAAAATATTGAAATCAGCGCCATCTTCAGTGTGCCGCAAATGAAACACACATATAAAGGACAGAAAATAATAAGAGAAAGATAGAGATAGAATAAAACGACAGTCGCCATCTCTTGAGTATTAAAGCAACTTTTACAAGGAAGGATAAAGTAGAGTAAGAATTGAATATAGTGACATCTCTTGGATGTTCCTTACTCTACAAATGAGAGAAATACCTTTTATACCCGAGAGATGGCACCACTGATCAATTCTTATTCTATCTCCATCCTTCTTTTATTATTTTCTATCCTTTATATATGTGTTTCATTTGCGGCACACTGAAGATGGCGCTGATTTCAATATTTTTATCCTATCTCTATCCTTTTCTTCCTATTTCCTCTCTTTGTCTAACCTACTTGATTGAATATCTGTATTTTTAATAAAGAACGCTTTATTTTTGATTAAAATTTTATTAATTTCAGTAATTAAAAAAAATAAAAGCAATTGTAACAATGTTCTTTATTTTCCTTTGAAAAATGTAATAAGCATATGATCGTAAAAAATAAATGCCATATTAAAAAAAAATTATTAATTAAATACAATATAATATATTATCTAAAACATTCTATTTTAATTATTCTAAATTATTCGAAATAAAATTAATATCATAATTAAAAGCTTTTCTGTTTTCTTTGAGAGAGATATCAAAAGAAAATAAAATAATATCGTTTTCAATTCCTAAATTATTCAAATCTTTCTGATTATGCTAAAATCCCATTTGTTTTTAATAAATATTAAATAAATTTTATTATTAATTGAATATAATGTAGAATTAATTTTTTTTTTTTGTTTTCAAAAACGAAAATAATTATTTTACATTACAGATTAAACTCGTGTTAACTGTAAGATAAATTAAACTCGTTTGATAATAATTTTTATATTTTTGTTTTTATATTTACATTTTTCTACATTTATTGGATGTTAAATAAATTTGAATACATTTGAAATATTTCGAAAATTTATGTAAACTGATCTAAATGATATTCTTATGTATACTATCGATCATAAGTTCGATACCACCACCTAAACAATTATTTTACAGGAATGTCGATGATTCATACATTCATTCGTTGTTTAAAGAAAAAAAAATTATTTCAACTAAAACAATTGCTCATATTTTTTTCAACTTTTTATACTATTTTACACGTTCTGCTCTTAATTCATTACACCATATTTTTACACTTTTATTTACACCTTTTCCTGCATTATTGTTACATATATATCTTATACATCTTGCTGCATTAAATAAATCGTTTGCATTAAAATATAATATGCATAAATGGCAGTTACTTGTAACTTAGACAGATAGATATCTTTAAAACTATATATGTAACAAAAGAAAAGTTTAATCCTAAATTTCCAACATACAATTAATTAAGCTCGAAAAAAAAAATCATATTACACTTAATCCATATAAATTAATTCACCTTTAATGGTATATTTATATAAGAAATTTCAACTATAACTAATAAGGGTTAAGCAATTAACAATTAAACTTATGATCTATAGTACAGATAAGTATCATTCGAACGAAACATCATAAAATTTTGTAAAAGTTAAAAAATTTGGGCATCCCTCGTGTGAAAAAAATAAATGAATAAAATAAATACGGCGCGCTTAATCGTATACGCCACGACAGTCGGCCGGATTCGCAAATACATACAGTTTTGTACTACGTTTTCTAAAACGAAACAAGCTATATATCTATTTACTGTACAACTGTGCGTTCCATTCGACGCATAATATTAAAGCTTTCGAATTACAGCTAAAATTCAAGATCGTTGAAATGATTATTTTCAAATAAAAGGTAATCTTTTCTTTACACGTAGAATTTTTTTTAATGTATCCCTTTTAACAATTCGACAATCGTTAGTCAGAGTAAATTTTAAATTTTATTCTGACAACCTTATTGGTTGGATAGCATTACATCTAAAAAATAATTCTCGTTTCGCTTCATCATTAACACAGCCCAATTTAATCCAAATTATTTTTTAATATCTACGCACGCTGATCCGAAGATTTTAATTAAAAGTTATTTTACTTTACACTTCATCCATCCCGTTTTCTATATATTCCTGAGCCTTTTTAATGCTCCGTTGCTTTTTTCCCCTCTTTCTTCTTCAAAATCCTGACCATGTTACACATAGTCTACATTCCATTTTCACTTTCGTGAATTTAATAAGATTCGGCTAAAAAAAATTCACAAGTTTAAAAGTTTGAATCTATAACAACTTTAGTCAGTATATTTTCCTCCAATTTCACGGAAGGTATACGTGTATTTCACTTGTCTTTCTTCTTTTGCTTTTTTTTTTTTATATATCGTTTTTTTTTTTTCTTTTCATAATTTTAATATCGTAGCAGTAGTGTAACATACGCGATGATCATTTCGCAAAACATGATCACGAAAAGCAAAAATTTCAGAAACGTTACATCGAGATGATATCAAGCTTTCTGAGAAGAAATTTTCGCGATGTCGAAATATTTTTAACTCTAAAATTTGCGAGTATGATATCACGAGTAAATCCACTCTTGGATCAATAACAATCGAGCAGAAATTTACACGTAACGATCTTCTTACAATATCTGCTTTACTGTTTATTCACTAGTTAATTCAATTTTATGTTTACGTTAACAATTACACGATTACCAATTTATCGATAATTATCTCGGCGACAATTATCATCAATGGGAAATTATTAGTCTCTTACGACAAAACACGTTAACCTCTTAACAATATTATTATAATTATAAATTTAAAACAATTTAATAGAAGACTTTAGAGTATTAGTAGACTTTCGATATTTCTTTCAATTTTCACAAACTCGAAACTAATCGCGAAATTATTTATTTGAACGAATCAAACGATTCATTCAAATAATTCCATATTCCTTATTTTTAATCCTCTTCTATTTCCCTTGCCCTCGTTCCCTTGTAATCGAAGAAGGAAACGACAACTTATTCGCTTTTTTTCTTGTTGCCATTCGACAAGTCGACGAATGAGTCGTACAGTTTGTATTCAATTACATGCAATTCAAGTACTCTTCAAATAAGTACTTTACCATTATTATCTTACTATCAATGAACCGAAGTGAATATTATCGTATCTTTTCATTAGGTAGTATGGACCTTGAAAATAACGATTGAAAATAATGAAAAAAAAAGTATTTCTCACATTCTACTAAGAGAAAATAATAAAAAGTAATTCAATTTTCAAAATTGTTCAAAATACCCGAACAACATTCCTTGCCGATCTTCTTCTTAATTACAATTTTAATCGATCTTATCTCGTCGCTTCCTTCGCAACTATCCTCGTTCCAATATCCTGGCCATTGAACACCGTTGCAACACACGTAATAAATAAAGCAAGCGATTAAAAAAGAATAATCGATAAACTTACGCATCTTTCGCAATTTTTCTATTATAACAATTAAAAAAAATATTAAAAGTTCTAAGTTTCCAATTCAATGATCACTTTATCGTTCCTGTATCGTTACAACGATACAACAGATATTACTTTCAGATTCATTTTCTTTTCTCTCTCTCTCTCTTTCAGAAACACTTCCTCCGTCCGATATCTTCTTTCCCAGCATCGACGTTTCCGGTCTGTTCGAGTTTGCCGCGATCGAGTTCCACGGCGGCAATTAAATGTACTCGGCGAACATTATCCAATAAGTTACGTTCAACACGGCGAAGAGGAAAGGGAAGAAGACGCGGGAGACCCGATCGATGTTCAGGGCACGCATTCGCGCCTTCTGCGCGGGTGTTGGGCCTGGCGGTGGACCGGTCGTCGATTTCTGCGATCGGCCGGATAACAACATTGCGTTTTCCTGCGTGACAACGATCACAACTTGAACCGCCGCTGTGCAGACAACCCCTCTGTGCCTCGGAGAGATGAACGCGTGGACGATGAGGCCGCGACGCATCGAGGAATGGCCGCAATTATTATTTCCTCTCTCTCTCTCTCTCTCTCCCACTCTCTTTTCTTTTTTCAATCAAGCAATTACTTACGCGCGAAGTAAACGACGATTATTTATCCGAAAATGTTCGAAAAAAGAAGGTAAAATTTGAAGTTGACAGTTTAATAATTTTGTTCGAATTGATTCGAACGATGAATTATTATTAGTAAAGTGAGTTTTTGAAACTTTCTTCTTCCTTTTTTGCCCGTCTCTCTTTTTTTTGATTTTCATTCCTTTCCCCGAGGCACAGAAGTTGTCTGAACCGTTCGGATGTTCATCCAGGCGTTACCTTAGTGGCGATGTCGAAAATTTTATCGAGCTTGGCGGAATCGGGGCCGCTGGAGGACGGCGGGGGAGGTGGTGGCGCCGGTTTCGGGGGCGTGTCCGAGTCGCCGAGGACGATGTTCACCAGGCAATACTCCATCAACGCCATGAACACGAACACCGTGCAAACCGACATGAAAGCGTCCACGGCCTTCAGATACGAAACAGGTGGCAGGGACGCTTGACTCTTGGCGTGTTGCGTGGAGAGGGTCAGCAAGGAAGTTACGCCGAGCGTGACTCTGGCTGGCGCCGCTTCCGGTTTTATCCAGAAGGAGACCCACTGCGCACAGAGGTGATGTTACAATTTCGACGAAAACGTTTTCTTTTTTCGATTACGTTTCGTTCCCACACTCACCGACATGATTACGATCAAGCAGGTTGGAATGTAGGTGTGAAACAAGTAGTAGCCGAGCCTACGTTTCAGGACGAACACTACTTCGAGGCAGGTGAAGTTACCTAAACGAGACGATTTTTCGTTAATTCGACATTCTTCTCAATTAACAGTGAGAAACGTTGAATTGTTCGAATTTAAAATTTTTATACGAGCCGTTTCGATAATCTTTTTCAACGAAATCTTCATTCGATCTTTCGAATCAATTGCTTATTATTTCTTCGCTTTCTATATGTCGTTGAATACGGACACACACAACGTGAAACGTCAATATCCAATTAAATAAACGTGGCCATTCACGCGAGAACAAATTCACTTTCAACTCTTTCGATTCTTCCTCGATCTCGAGTTGAAACGGTTAATTAGGAACGGAATGAGCACGAGGTTTCTCTTTTTTTTTCGCGACAGTCGCCACTTACCAGTAGAATAGACCTGCGTGCAATCGGCCGTGTAATTTTTAACCAGTTGGAGCTGGGGCAGCTCGATGTTCTCGTCGACGACGAGTGGCACGTCAGGATCCCACTGGAAGATCATTTCATCCGTCGTGTGCGACACTGTTGACCGAGTTGTTTTGTCCTTGTGAAATCGCACATTCAGCCCGCAAAACTAAACGATAATTCATGCGGGTATCGTTTCGAAATGTGACACGGGTGTAAATTCTCCTTTTGATGATGCGTGATTCAGCTCGATTGTTGTTAATATCGGACGTTTCTTTTTTTTCTTTCTTTCTTTCTTTTCTTTTTCTTTTTTTTTTTTTTTGTTCTTTTTTCATCTATGGAGCTTTCTCGATGGATGTGTACGCGCGAGGAGAAATCGCGATTGAATGGAAAATTGGAAAAGATGGAAATGCGATTAATAATCTGCCATTGAATTAAAAAAAAAAAAAAATAGGACCTTTGACAATTGTTGTGGAATCATTTTGCTAAAGATGAATCTATTTTTATCTAATGATTAAGCAAATTATACGTTAAGTAATTTTGTAAAAATTCACTCACGACTTTCCATTTGTAATTTACACTCTTGAGTGTCGTGAGGGTAGATCAAGAAGTTCATGGCGCACGATAACTTCAACGTTAATCTGAAATAAGAGAAAGAAGAAAGAAATGTTATTTCTTCTTTTGGAAACGATATAAAAATATGGGGAAAGAAGGAATTAAATAGGAATTGAGATAGATATTGAACAGAAAGTTCAATGAAAAATAGATCGTTTCTTCTTACTTGACCATGTATAAGATAGTCTTGTCTTTGTACAACCATAAGTAATGATTCGGTATAGTCATCGTTTGGAACGTCACTGATTTCGCGTTCTTGAAGAACGAATCCGGTCGCCACATATTCTTCAGCCAATCGACTTCGAGCAATCTAGAATAACAACACGATTTTAATACGATTTTTCTTATTTATTTGCGAAAAAATCAGTTTTGTTTTTTTAATAATTCTCGATATTTCATCTTCGATAAATTTTAAAATAACAGAAAGTAGTTTTTAGATCAAATCACGACAATTTCATGTACCTGTATTCGGATGTCATATTTTCTGGTAATCGTAGCCTGTTATCCTTCCAAGTTTGGGCGAAAAATATGTCGGCTGCATACGTCTGAAAGAGTGGATTATGAAAATTGACACTTTAAAATTCGGTATGAATTATTCATTAAAATTTAAGCTACCAAACGATGTACGATGGAAGTAAGTGCTTGAAGTTCGTTTCAAGAACTTCGTTTTCGTGTAAAGAATTTTTTCGAGCCTAGAATATTATACAAATTGATGAGATGGATTTAATAATAAGCTTTTCATTTTAAAGGGAAACGCTGTTAAATATTAATTTTCTCTCTGAATATCTAATACATGCCTCTATCAATGATCGTTCCAGTTCTTTCTTTCTTTTCTTCTTGGAAAATGAAACGAAAGAAACGAAAAAAATTGGAAAGAACCGAGCGACAAGATTGAAATTACGTTCGTTTTTAAAGCGACAAACAAGAACAAAGTTGTGAATTAAAATTTGCACGATACCATTGAATTCTCGTCTATGGAATCGAGACCCATAACAGTGACGTGGAAATAAACTACGGTCGCCTGTCCATCCTTCTTTGGCGGTCGCATTTTGTCGTACAATTTGGGATCTTCCGGTAGAAGATCGAAGAATTCCAAGCTCCTCCTGAAATTTCGAGTGGAAATTTCAGCAAAAACTCAAACACTTCGTTAGCCGAACACGTAAACTTCGTACGAATTTCCACGCGAATTAATCGATAAATGAGGATAATTTTTATATGCCTGTCAACACAAAATTTTAACGTGGCAAATATTTTATAGAATTTATATCGATACAATGATCACGTTTGCTCGAATTCACGTTCAAACGTTTCACTTATTATATCGCATTTTCCTCGTCGCGGTTTCACCTGTCTTGCACAATATGGGGGAAAAAACGCACAATTAAAATTCACAGAACCTTAAAACTACACTTTTGTTTGTACGCTTTTTCTGTGTTTATTACACTTCGTTGATTATTATTTTTTTTTTTAATACGTTAACACTCGTATATAAATCACAAATACAAGTTTTATTATAATCATTATTGAACAATTATTTTGTCACTGAAAAAATCACTATTTAATAACAATTTTATCGCACACATTGAACACAGCACTTTATGGATTTCACTGAACTTCTTTCTGGTGATTTCATCATCGTTTATCCTTCGTTCCTTTTTATTGCGAAGATTTGTGCAATTAAACTTATTGTTATAAATATTATTTCGAATATGAAGAAATTTACTTATCCTGAAACTAATAATTTTACCTCTACTTCTTCTTAGTCAATACCTCTTCAATGCTACCAATATTACACCGGGAAAATAATATAAATTTCTACGTAAGAATCCAAGAAATTTTACATCCGCAAGAGTCTTCGTTTTTTCCAACAATTACTTCTCAGCAATCAAATTTTTATCACTTTAAATTTGTCAAGCAAAGGAAGAAGAAAATCCTTTCGACAAGAATCACATCCTCGAAACCATAAATCTCGAGATATATAACAAGTTAAATCGAGGAAGAGGAATCGTCACATCTTTACGGTTACCGTAAAGATGGCCGGGGCGTATGGTCGGCACGGGGACAAACGGAAGAGGAATCAAGAGCGAATCAAGTGAGAAATCAGAGAAGAATCTTACTGAGCGTCCACGGTGCGTCCAAGCAGGAGAAGAAGCACGATCGAGGAAAGGATTGCGGAAACCATGCCGCCCCCATGTGTCTCGTCCATCGACATTCTTCGTCGATCGCTTCTCAGCGCATTTTCCTCGCACCAGATGAGCAAGCGGCCAAAATGACGAAGGAGAAGAGACGGAGGAGCCGATCGTGGAGCGTGTCGAACTTGGAAGAAAACGGGCGACGATAATAAGATTGCGGGGGAAAAGGAAAAAACGAAAAAGGGAAAAAAATTCGTTCGACAACCTTCGTCGAAGACCGGGGGCTCTCAGAGCTTGCCTCTTTTCTTTCTCCTTTCTCTCTCTCTCCTCTCTCTCTCTCT